GATTTAGGGTTCAGGGTATGTACTTCTGCAGAGATCCACAAACACCAAAACAAAAAAAGGGGGGAACCTTAAGGCCTGTACCTTTACTACTTAAAGGATCATGGGACTTAGTAATTAGGGTTATAACTAAGGTAACTATACTTATAACCCCAATTAGGGGACTTATAACCTTACTTACTAAGTCCCATGATCCTCCAAGTAAAGTTTAGAGTTTTTGGTTAAGCCGTAGGGTTTAGGGTTTAGGATAAAGCCGTGACGTGTAGGGTTTAGGGTTTAGGGTTCGGGGTGTAGGGCTTATAGAGTTTGGTCTAGCCCCTCGGCCCACACCCTTGAACCCGCAACCCTTGAGCCAAAAAACCCTAATCTCTCGGGCTTAGGATTTAGGGTTTAGGATACCCTAAACCCTAAACCTTAAACCCTAAAGCCTAAACCTTTCTTAAGGTCGTACGATGACTTGCCTACGGAGATCATGGTTAGGCTCCTGCTCCTTCTCCAGCTTCTGCTGCGGCTCTTGCTTCAGCCCTAAACGTTCATGTGCCCAAGTAGAATACCCTACCCCCCCAGGTACCTGCTATATAGGGCCCTAGGGGCTCTAGTATCTAGTACCCTATATAGTAGGCACCTGGGGGGGTAGGGTAGAACACACTTTGGCCTCAAAGTACCTTTTTAGGGACTACTTTAAGGCCAAAGTCATTTGGTATATACTTTTTGGGTACATGGACAACTGAGGGGTTGCTCCTGCTGCTTGGAGCTCGGTCGCACGCAGGAGTTGATGTGATGACGCTCGCATGCGCGCTCATCGCCCTAAGTCCTACAGTAGTTCCCCGGTCTTTCCAAGCAGCAGTTGTGCGCTCGTTCTTGTTTAAGGATCAAGGCTCAGGCATAAGGGTTTAGGGTCACTTCCTGTAGAATGGACGGTAGGGTACTTTGTGGCAACGTAGGGCTTTCAGCGCAAGATGGTGACACCCTGGACCCAAACAGGAACAAAGCCATCCATCCAGCTTGTCGGTTCAGGTGAAGACGTGAAAGCCTAAACCCTACTTGGAGGTTCATGGGTAGTTATAAGTGGGGTTATAAGTAGGGTAGCTGTAATTATAACAACCCATGTTAGGGGACTTGAAACCCTACTTATAACTACCCTAAACCCTAAACCCTAAACCCTAAACCCTAAACCCTAAACCCTAAACCCTAAACCTTAACCCATGAACCTCCAAGTAGACCTTAAGCTCGAGAAGAAACCTGCATCTTCGGGCGTCTTTCTTATGGCTTCCTTGTATATGTCCTTAGAAAGGTCCGGTTTCCAGCTGTTTTCCGTGTCATGATTTAGTACGTATATATATATATATACATATATATATATATATATACATACACATATGTAGTCTGAGGTGTGTATATATATATATATATATGTATATACGTTATGTGAGTTAGATGTCCCTAGAAATCAGAGAGGTAGGCTTGTGGGGGTTCGAGGTTGTTGCTTATAAGGCTTATAAGGGTGCGTAAAGAACCAAAGGTCATGGTAACTACAGGGTCATAAACGAGGTGACAATACTTACAATTGTTTATAACAGGCGTTTTTTCCTTGCATCCGGTTTGTCTAACTTCGACGTGAGCCTTGTATTTCTAGGGCAGTTATAAGATACTGACAACCTCCGTTCCTAAGTCCCATGATCCTGCGGGTGGTCCTACCTGACCGTAAGTACTCCGGGTAGGGTTTAGGTTTCAAGATCTGGGCTGGGCTCTGGGTTTGGAGGTGGGTGTAGGGTTTGGCGAATCCTCCAACACCTGGAGGATCATGGGACTTAGTAAGTAAGGTTATAAGTCCCCTAATTGGTTATAAGTACAGTTACCTTAGTTATAACCCTACATACTAAGTCCCATGATCCTTTAAGCAGTGTCTGGCAACCTTTGCCTTGATAGATCCTAGGCCATGAGAGTTTTTTCGCATTCTGGCGATCAGACCCGGGAAATCTATTTGACAGACTGTCCTTTGGTGTGACCCCTCTATTTGGCCTCCCCAACATGCACGACAACTTCATACAGAACTTCAGCAGCAACCTTACCTCCACTTATGAGAACCTTACAGAGGCACTGAAAGGACCGTCGTGCTCAGAGGGTTTAGACTTACAGTTTCCAGTGAATTTTGTTCAGGCAGTATTGCCCGAACGCCCCAGGTACCTACTAAATAGGGCCCTAGGGACTCTAGTACCCTATATAGTAGGTACCTGGGGGGGTCAGGGTTGGTTAGGGTTTTGGGTTTGCAGCCGAGGATTTAGGTTCCACGTAGCGCCTTCAGGATGATTCCCAGTTCTGTTCCGTAAGATTCCGATTAGAACTATATTGTGTGTGTATGTGTGTGTATAATATATATATATATATATATGTGTATATATATACATATATATATATATATTCTGTTATTTATAGTATATTTATGTATACACACATATACATATATATATATATATACACCCATCCCCCACATCCTGTTCTGCTCAGAAAGGCCCCTATATTAGGTGTAGGGCACAGGGGTCCGAGATGCCAGCGGCTTTGCGAAGCGAGGCGTCGGCGTAACGGATGCTTGTAGACAAGGGGCGATTGCTCAGGAGTTTGTGCTCTAAGTTGCTTTCATAAGCAGCACATATGCTGTTATATACTCCTACCGTTATCGTAACTTAAGCTCGGTTCCTCAACGAGAACCCTCGGATGCCCGAGGTTCCTAAAAGGCCCAGGAAAGCAGAAAGCACGGGCCGGATTTAAGGCTTAGGGGTTTAGGCAATGTCATTACGTACCTGGATGAAGCCGTTCCTGGTCATGCCGTTCAGTGAACACGGAGACGTGGAGCATCGGGTTCATGCGGCTTCATGGCACTTTTCGTTCGCTTGCACGTGCGCTTGCACCTGCAGCAGTAGACCAACGACCGAGACGCCAGGACTCTAGATTGGACGTCCACGACTAGGTCTTGTTCTGAAGCCTCCGCATTGCAGCCATGCTTCAGCAAAACAGAAAAATCAGCTTTACTTGCACATGAAGTCCAGATTCCATACTGCGTATCGGAGATTGGGTAGATACTGGGAGGTTGCAGTTGGTTGTTGAGCGCATCCACGCGGAAGGAACACAAAGCCAACACACGCAACGGTGAAGATCTCGGGCATTGGTCTGTGCAAGCAGGGGCAATACCGAATCTTCGCGACACTGATAAAGCCCCTTGTGCTTGTGGATTGTTACGGCTTAAGGCTTTGTTCGGGTTTCGGTGCCAGCACTCGTTGCCTATGTTTGCAAAACATGACACGAGGTCTCAGGTTGCTGACGATGCGCAGTGTCTTCGCAAAGACAGCACTCGAAATTGCCTTCACCCCCGGTGCCAAACATACCTGAAACACAAGGTTTTTTCTGCGAAGCTCGACCAAGAAGCAGAAGCATCGCAGAAGCCGCAACCAACAAGTCAGGGTAGGCTTTGAAGTTCGACGACTTTGCTTGGGTTTTGTGAATCAAAACGTTACCCTGCAAAAAGGAGCTTATCACGCTGTCGGGCTTTTCGCCAGGTTCCCAGGAGCAGATGCTGTGGGTGTGCGTTTTTTTGGCCAGCTTTGTGCACGGTGTCAATTGTGCTGCATGTGGCAGGTTCTCGCGTGCACAGATTGGATGGTTTCGGATCCTCTTCGAATATTATAACTATGCCGAAGGAAAATATTCATGTCTATATGTGTTGTGCATTTGAAAGCACCGGGTGCACAGCCCCATGTTGAAGCTGTGAAGCCCCAAGGTCTGACAGTTCGAACCCAAAACATCTATTGTCTCGTGTTTGGGGGTTGCAGACGGCTGGAACTGAGTCGCAGCATTAAGCATTGAGAGGCATGTGTCCACTTGGTTTACGGTCCGGGATGTCATGTTTGGGTTCAGGCACCCCAACAGCCCGACCTATTTTGCATCAATGGTTCGGGCTCGTTTGGTTTACGACACAACTCTCACCAATGCATGGTTCCTTCCTTCTGGAAGTTGCATTGGCGTTCAGAAGCATGGTTCTCAAGAACAATCTCTTTTCAGTCGCAAAAGAGTCTTTATGACATGTTGTTGCGAGTCAGCTCAACATCTGTTAAAACCCTAAATTGTTATTGTCCAGAACCTGAAACTGACGCTTCGTTCTGGGGGTGCCCCTGCACACTTGCAACACGCCCTGCGGCTTTTTCCCAAAATCCGAGCCATTGATTGGCTAGGACGAGAATGGATATACTCCTGTCATGGCAGCCGCTAGCTGGGGCCATGCAACTCGACTGAGTTTCGATGCTCAGGGGCTCCGGGCTCCACAGTAGGTTCTTGTAGCATGCATTTTTCCATCGGGTCACGTAATTACCTGTAGCCGTGCAGCTACTGCTGCAATGACCGCGAAAAGCTGAATTCACTTCTCATCAAAGGTTCGAAAGGTAAACGAAGCCCCGCAACCTTAAACAGTACGTCCCGCAAACCCCTTCAAACCCTCAATCTCGAAATCTTCATTTTTACATCCGAAAGCTCAAAGACTTATTAAGACCGACACAGTCTTCATAGCGCACGTACCAAACATTACCGATGCAAAGCAAGAAGCCTATTCGACAGCTTTGGATTTGGTGAACAATTTGCGAGAGGAGTTTAGCTGAAGGTTTGCAGTTCAGGTTCCGTGGAGGATTCTCGAATGGTTGCGAGTTTCAGGTTTTTGGGTCTATACGGTCTGGGAGTTTAAGCTGTCAACACCGGGGTTGTGGGTCGGGGTTTAGAGCTAAAGACGAGCAAAGGGGTTGTTGGAGCTTACATGAAAGCGAAATCTGAGGCTGCAAGATGCACTTACTAACAGCACTACGAACCGAAGCAAACCTCCTTGTCTCTCTGTATCACTCTGTCCTGCTATGTGTATAGGCAAAACATGTATATATATACACAAGTATACGTTACTTACATGTACATATACATACACCTGAGAATCCTGAGAAAGTACCTATTCAGGCGGCCACAGCTACGTATGGTAATAGTTGCATACGGCTGCAGTTTTCAACATCCTTCACGGGAGCAACACCAAGCACAACGAGGCGAATGTCAATGCCTCACTCGGGAAGCTAAAATATTTGGGCCCAAAGTTTTGCGGTCTTAAGCGCAGCCCAACCTTAGCCCCCCGAAGCCGTGAATCTTGTAAAAGTCTTCAGCCCTGACTCCAATCCGGAAAATGCAGCTTGCTTGAACCGAACCCCGAAGTCCTTAACGCATAGGGTCGCATAAGCAAGAGCAATATTCCCTTGTAGTCCTCGTTTCAGTAGAGTTAGTATAGTAGAACCACACCAAGCCGCAATGGAATCTTTCAGACCCCAATATTAACAGTATAAAGCCCTATGAACCGTGGTGCGAAACTTTACCGCAAGTTCCCTACATTGATGTTTAGCCCTATACAATCCTACAGAAGTTCTTCTTCAATCAAGAAGCTCCAAGTCCTATAAACCATAAGCCCATTAAGCCGCAATCCGCAGCGCGAGGTTGACCTGTTGCGCATCTTGTTACAGCGAGATGCATCTGCTGTTAATGTGGCAGACACTTGGACTTTGAACAATGGTGAGAGTGAAGGTCTACCCGAAGGTTCCATGTACCTATAAGGAGTGAAGCATTAAGAGCTTTGACAGAAAAGCCGACAGAGCTTGACGTTTATTGTGTTTCTTGTTTGTGGAACAACCTCAACCCTCCCCATCAAACCCCCGTCTATCCATTGAGGCTCCTGAAGTTAATTTTTTGTTGCTGGAGTTCTCCTAGAATCCTTTCAAGGGTCCCTGTACCTCTACTGCTAGGGTTCCTTCAAAGGTGTGTATACGTTTAGTCTGGGTTTTATTGGGAATGCTCTAAGGGATCACAGTAGGGCTGTAAAGGATTTACTACAGGGTTTTATAAGGTCTGTGTCCATGTACAAAAACCTTACGGGAGTTGTAGGTTTCGTCAAAATTTTGATGGTTGTGGTAAAGCTTATTCTTGTTTCTTAGTAAACGGTTTAAGTTTCGGTGTCCATGTGCCCCTTTCATTGCATGTATATATATATATATATGTATTATGGTATTTTGCTCGCTCTATCTCTCTCTCTCTCTCTCTGTCTGTGTCTCTACATACCATACATGCATGCATACATACATGCATGGTACACACACACAGGTCTATCTATCTATCTTTCTATCTTTCTTTCTATCTATCTATCTATCTATCTATACATGTGTGTATATATATAAAATACATACACGCATCGGATTTGGGGTCGAGGATCCAGGCGCTAGGTTGGAGGGCTGAGGGCGGGCAGACCCTTCGGCAAGGATTCCGATGGCGATACGCCCTTACATCATGTGGCGCAAGCGATCGAGCTCGAGGCCGTTGTCGGTGTGAATTCGTTTGCTGAACATTTGGTAGAACTACTGCAATCCTGTCTATCCGAACGTCTAGCCCTAGTTTACTTGAAGAGGTTCATGGGTGGTTATAGTAAGTAGGGTAACTATATTCATGACCCAAAACTGGGGACACATAGCTCCACTTATTACCCATGAACCTCCAAGTAGGCCATGTTGTAGACCGGCTGAAGGTTCAGAGTATCGAACGTCAAAACACGCCTTCCCAAAATGCCAACATCCAGATTTGAAGTCCTGTTGTGGTCATGGAGAACTCAGAGCGCGAAACCTAAACCCCCTCGACCCACACATCCGAGGCAGTGCCCAGTTTTGACATGACACCTTAAAATGCTGGAACCGAACACCCTGAACCTTGAGAATCCTCTTAGAACTGTAGGTTTAGGGTTTAGGGTTTAGGGTCCGAATCGCTACAATCTTCAAGGCCCCTGGCATCCAACAGAATCGAGCGGCAGGAGTACCAGAAGCTTTGACTTTTAGGGCTTCTCGGGTCTAAAAGCTCACAAGTTTCTTATGCTTGTTAGAATACTGGGTAATAGGTTTTAGATGTTTGTCTGATCTGTGTTGTAGCGTTTATACAGCTTATTTTGGTGTTCTTCTGGTTGGCTCTTAGGACTTTAACTTTTGGGGTTTCTATATGAACCATAATAAGGAGACTAAAAGTTTAACTTTCTGGAGGGGTTCAGAAGTCAGCCAAGTTATGTGGCCGGCAGCGTTGTTGATCAGTGTGGTTAGGGCGGGGCTATACGGTTCATGAACGAGACCTCTAGTCTTTATAGGGCTCATGGGGCTGTAGGGTAAAGGGTTCTGAATCAGAATCCTTAAGCCCGGGATACGGGCTTCATCTTCAACCCAGCAGTCTGAAAAACTGGCTACTCACAGACTCCAAAACCCCTCAATTATTAAGGAATACCACCTTAAATTTTCATACTTTAATAGGAACCCTAACATGGTTTTGTTCGGGATATTCCTTGATTGAGTGGTTGTGGAGTCGCTGGGTAGACAGGCCGATCAAGTGCGTCCTGTCCTTGAGCTGCTTCTGACACATGGAGCAGACGTGAACAGGAGGTGCGACGGTTTAGGGTTTTAAGGTTTAGGGTTTAGGGGTCATGAAAAGTACAGCTTGTGCGGACTTATGAACACTTGACGAAGTTGCTTTTTGTTTCGGTGTTCTTCTTCAGGAAATATAGCGGGGTTGAAGCGCTGGCTCGTGCCCGAAACACCAATCCCTAAACCCTAAAGCCTTGAAGCCATAAATCCTAAATTCTACAGGCTTAAGACGTTGGGTTTAGGGTTTGGGGCTTAAGGCTTTCATTGTTTTTAGAAGAAGAAGGCTTCGGTACTGCGCAAGAGAGCGGGGTACATAAGATCCTTGGACTTGGTGGTACCCTAACCCCCCTGGTACCTACTCTATAGGGTACTAGAGCCCCTAAAACCCTATATAGTAGGTACCTGGGGGTTTAGGGGTATGCAGGTTGTAGTTGTAGTTGGCATCACGAGAATACCCTTCGCCCACGAACCTTCAACTATTCCACTACCTTCAAAATCAGGCTGGCACGCAGACCCTAAACCCGAGAACCTCCTCGACTGGTTTCTACGAGTGTGGCCTTTGAGGAAAACGTTTGCACACAGCTTGTAACCCCTAAACCCTAAACCCTAAACCCTAAACAGCCCCTTGAGCGCTGTAAGCCCAAACCCTAACCCTAACCCGGAAGCACGGCATTTGACCCCAGGGCCTTAAACAATATAGGGTTTAGGGTTTAGGGTTTAGGGTAATATAGGGACCTTAATAATTAGAACACGGTTTTGGAGTATGTTACGCCATAACTATAATAAGGAACCCCCCAAAACCTTATT